AAAGGTTCCCTTGGGTTTGGTATAAGTCGCTGTTAAATCAGGGCCCTGCAGAGGAAACGTCAGTGACATTCTTGGATCACAAAGAAAGGTATTAGGTATTACAACAAACATGTTTTTAAATATAGATTAAGAATCAAACTGACAACATCATCAAGTCAACTCTTGGTGCTGAGACAGAAGTTATAGGGAAAAAAATACATCACAACCAAGTACTATTTGTAGTTGTGCCCTTAGGCTACAACCATGTTCCCATTTACTTGGGAACAATTTCCACTGAACTCAGTGGGGTTTGCCCCCGAATAACTATGTATAGGACTGGGATGTACTTTTCTGTGGATCTGTTTATAAATTACATGGCTACAATCTTGCGATTATCTAACTCCCAAACAAGACAATGGGATGGTTTGCAGAGAGCTTCAGCTGTTGGACAATATACAACTTAAACACAAACATACACAATCTGTGTGGCTGCCATTGTGCATATGCAACTTTCATTGGGGGCTCTCATGTTCTGCAAACCAGGCAAACATGGGTTATGTGAGCATTAAATAACTCCCGTACAACAGACCATAGATCATGTAAGGGTTGTTTAACCCTCACACAAACCATGTCTTCTGGATTGGCACCACATGACAACCCCTGGGTGGCACCATGGAGCATTGTGGGTTCAAGAACCGTTATGTGTTGTGTGAACCAGGTAATTGCAATAAACATATGGCTGCCATCAAAAAGAACCATGCATCTAATTTCCTGCTCTTCTCTCATAAAGTCCAAGAAGATTTACCTATGCTCTGTCATATTTCAGAGTTTCTCACCTGCAAGAAGTTCATAATGAGGGGAAGAATTCGATACCCCTGCCATTTATGGTGGCAGCTGCTGCCACCTCAAGTTTATGGCAATTTCTAATTTGGCTCTAAGACATGGGATTGGCTCATTTAGAACCCTTACAATGTCAGCGTCATCCTGGAGCCTGGACAAAACAGCTAAGCTAAGAAAAATGTTCTTCTGACAATGGTATTCACAGCAACCCCGTGAAATAAAAAATAGCACAGAACAAAAATATTGTACAATAAAAGTGCAAAGTCCAATTGGATTCTTAATATTTTAAATAGCAGTAATGTTAATCCCAGATTGCAGAGCAGTGACATTTGCAGTCACATAAATGAAATGCCTTGACCTCAATCCAGAAATGCCTCAATGCTATTGAAATGCAGGCTTGACTCCACACATGGGGCTGTGATTACTGTACAATTCTGAGCAGGATTAGTTAATTCACCTCTAGGCCGCTGATCGACACTGGGGCCTAGATAGCCCCTTAAGGGTACTTAAGTCAGTTACATACACCGAATGGGGCTTTTGCCTTTGTGCTCAACTCAAGCAGAGACTGCTTGTGCCATGATGATGAACTGAGCTGGAAGCACTCTTGGGATGCTTGCCAAGCGTTCGCTGGCCTGGGACTATGGAATCAGAACTTATGCTGCAGTTAGTTCCCATGGCATTACACATGGGTTTGTGGTCTTCTTTAGAGCTTGAGGGAAGGGGGAAAGGGGGGCAAGGTGACCTTTTTCGTCTATCCACCTCAACATGGCGGTTCTGGTTGGTCATCCTCAAAAAGCCTCACTGCAGTGATTGGGGCCACTGCATGAGAACATCCAAGCACATGTGCCACTCTCATTCATCCATTTGCCCTGGCTGGCCACTCGCCTGGCTACACCCCAACCCCATTCTTTCAACGCAACACACACTGAAACACGGAATCCCCTTTCATGTATCTCTTTTTGTCACTGTTATCCTTGTTTGTTGTTTTGGTTTGAGCCATGATCAAGGTCAGGATCATGGAAGTGGGGGAAAGCTCTCTTCCTTGTCATGCCATGGACCCTAAAGACAGCTCCCTGTTGAGTCTGCTATTGTATGCCATGGTATGAAAGATGCCATTGATATTCTTGAAACAAAGATCAGCTTTTTTCTGGAGTGCAGACTGGGACTGTAGCCTGGGTTAAACAGACAACCCTTCTACTTTCACCTGCTCTATGAAGGATACCATCTGATAAATTTAAACCTGTGAGCGTTTGAATGCTCATGTTCTGTAAAGAGAAAAGTAGCACTCTTGCCTTCTTGCTGAAATATTTTTTAAACTGTTTTTAAAATTCCCCTAGGTTGACCCATACTTTTACAATTATTTAACATGCTCATTTCCTGCGACAGCCTGCATGCTTTTCATACTTAAATTTCATAGTTTTTCCTTTGCCTTGTTTGCTTCTATAATCCAGATTGTGACTTTGAAGTCACTGATTAAAAATGTCGATCTATTTTCACCTACAATAACTCTGCTAGAGGTCTGGCAATCTCTCATGAAAACAATCATAAGCTCACAGAAGAACAAGTTTGAAAGAGGACATGAAATCAAAAGACATGTCCAGCAAACAGCCACTGAGTTGGTAACTCCACCCTTTCATCAAAGCTCTCCTTATGAATGGCTAACATTTTTCCAACCATGGGGATAGTTTAATTAGTCCATGGGGACTAATGAAACATGGCTAATAAAGACACCATAGACATCTCTTGTAAAAGGAGTAATAGCCAATTGCTGAAGGCAAAGAGAAGCTGATAGACTAGTTTTAATGAGGGAAGTGGAGCAGCTTATTGGACCTTAGCAGAGAGTAAAAGTAAGCCAAATTCTGAAGTCATGTCTTGGTGATTTTACTTATAGAAGCTTTACAACAGAATAAGAATGACTGTCTTCAATTCAGCGTAGCCTTTTTTTTTCTTTCTGGCTTGCCAGACTCTACAAGATTCACTGATGTGGTTTTAAGTGTATAAAGTGGAAGAATATGCTCAGGATCTCTTAGTAGTAACTACTTTATTTCCAGAAAGGTAACCAGGTTTATGTGTTGCAGCCAAAGCAATAGCCTTGTGGGAGCTTCAAGATAAACACTTATTTTGGCATAAATTCATGAAGTCTTGACATAATCATTGTGTTAGTCTTGTGATTTCTCAAAAGTGAGAGGCGAAACACTCCCTTTTGAGAAATCAATACATGCAACAAGAACAAAGACTCAAATATAGCACTGATAACTTGACCCTAACATGTTTCCACTGAACTGCAAGCAAGTTCCACTGAACAGCAATTTACCCCCAAGGAAGTGCAGAAAGGGTTTCAGTCTCCATATCGCATATGAAAACATTACAACCTTCTGAGATGAGTGTAGCTAATATTTGACCAAGTGGGCAGAGAGACTACATTTGTCCATATAGGGGAGACTTCATTGCAGTCCATTATCTGATCCTAATCTGAGGAGAAGAAAGGTAGGGTATACGTTTTGTAATAATGCTGCTGCTGCTGCTGCTGCTGAAATGCAGAGATTTCTTGTTCTAGCCCTTTTTCAAAGTCAGTGGCAGATCAGAGTCCTTGTGTAAGTATCTTAGTGAAAAGCAGGCTTGAGTACCTGCAGGGCAGGGTGGAAACAAGCTGCCAGAGTTGCGCTGCACAGGATGCCTGAACTGTAGTTTGGAGAGAAACGACAGTCTGATAAACTCTGCTGGGATGAGTGCATGTTGATCTGCTTAGGTGTGCTGCATGGCCAGTCTTGACTTTTATCAGAGACACTATTCTAAGCAAAGTGTCATGGGCATCTAAACCTGCATGAAGTTATATACTTTGGAAGCTAAAGGGGGTTTCTAGGCATCAACCTGGATGGCTTTGAAAGGGGATAGATGCCAGTCATGAGGGTGCCACATTCCAGCTCGTTTTGCAGGCGGCATGCTTGTTACTGGGAAGCATGAGTGGGGGTGGAATTTGCACACATGTCCTACTTTTGGGTTTCTTGCAAACTGCTGGTTGGCCACTGTGGGGGCAGAATATTGGATTCAGAATAAAGGGACTCTTGGTCTCACCTAGCATAATGCACTTCTCATTCATTCAATTTACATTTCGCTCTTTTTCTCACAAAGAACTCAAAGCAGCTTACATCATTCTCCTGCTTCTGTTCTCAGTCTTATCCCCACAAGAACAACACCGTGAGGTGGATTGGGCTGAGAGTTTGTGACTGGCCCAAAGCCTCCCAGTTGGGTGCACGGCTGAGTGGGGACTAAAACCCAGATTGCCTAAGTTTCAGTCCTTGTTCTTAACCACGACACCACACTGGCTCTCTTCTTTTTATGTTCTCCCTCACTTTTTCTTTGGAAGCAAAAATAATGAAGTTGATGTGAGGAGGCAAGACTCACTGGAGAAAACAATCATGTTAAGGAAAGAAGATGAAGACTAACTATGGGATGGATTGACTCCAGAAAGGAAGCCACAGCTTTGAATTCAAAGGAGCCAAGCAATGCTGCCAGGGACAGGACATGGGGGGGGGGGGGAGGGCGTCATTCTTAGGGTTGCCCTAAGTTTGGAGATGACTTTACAGCACATAACGGCAGAGAAGTGCCTTTCTTTCAAGTAACCATAAGGTGCATATGGGGCAGGAGAGAAAGTGAAATCCGTTGTGACCTCCTGTGTCAGAGACACTCATATATTTAATCCATGTATTAACGCTGATTCGGTGGGTCTCACGTTCTTCTCTTTTGTTGAACATGGGGACTCCGTGGGCGGACGCGTGTGAGTACACGCACATGAGGACGCGGGGTATACGCACGTGAGCGCTGGGTGCCTGCGCGCAGATACGCCCTCCTGGCAAGCGCCAGGTTGGCGCCGGGTCTCGAAGTGGGGCGTCTTGCAAGTTCAGCCGGATTGCGGGCCGCTGGAAATCACTCCGGCGCAGCGCTGCCCTTGCCCTTCCACTTGTCCAAGAAAGGGCTCCCTCGTCCTCGGGGGCGGGTTCCCCTTCGCGAGGGGGGGCGGGTTCCCCTTCGCGAGGGGGGGCGGGCCCCTCTTGGCGGCCCCGCCCGCTCGGGGTAGGGTGAGCGGGCGGCCGAGGAGCCCAGATCCCCGAGCATCCCCTCGGCCGCAGACGCGTCGCCGGAGCCGCGGGGCAGCTCCTTCCCCGGCCCCGTGCGCAGCCATGGCGACCGGCAGCTCGCCCCTTCTGCACCCGCCGGGGCTGGCCGCCTCGTCGCCCAGAGCGCCCCCGGCGCCGGGTGTGCCGGTGCCCTCGACGGTCGCGGTGCCGCCTTCCTTCCTCCGCCCGCCCAGCCTCTTCATCCGCGCGGCCGCCGCCGCGGCCGCAGCCGCCGCCACGCCGGGAAGCAACGCTGGCCGCTATTCTCCGGCGGCGGTGGCGGCGCTGGAGCGCGGCGTGTGCTCCCCGCGCACGCCGAAGTGCGCCCGCTGCCGCAACCACGGCGTGGTGTCGGCGCTGAAGGGCCACAAGCGCTTCTGCCGCTGGCGGGACTGCGCGTGCGCCAAGTGCGCGCTCATCGCCGAGCGCCAGCGCGTCATGGCCGCCCAGGTGGCGCTGCGCCGGCAGCAGGCGCAGGAGGAGAGCGATGCCCGCGGCAGCCCCCCGCGCCCGCGCCCGCACCTTCCTCGGCCGAGCGGAGACACGGCGCTGAGCCTGGCGGCGGGCGGCGCGAGCACGGCCGGCGAAGCCGCCCGAAAGAGCTACCGCCCGGAGGTGCAGCGCCGGCGAAGAGGTGGGACTGTTGCGGGGAGGACCTGGAGGAGGAAAGCGGAGGATGGCTGAGGCGGGACGGCGGGGAACCCCTTCCCAAGCCCAGAAAAGGACACCAAGCGGCGCTCAGTTTGAGCCAGAGCTCCATGAGGGGGACGCTCTTAAGCGCGCCCTCCTATACGCGTTTAGAAAAAGATGCCTGCAATTCCCAGTATGCCCCAGCTATTCGTGTTGCCTTGGGCATGCTGGGAATCGTAGGTCTTTTTTTCCACTTGATAAACTTGCGTGGGATTGTACCTTCACTCTTTTCAACGTGGCAGGTGGGATTGAAGCCCCTGATAATGACGATGGCGCCTCTGAGCATGTACAGTCTTTTGTGGACTGGCAGGGTGACGATAGCTAACCCTGGGCATGTCTGCTTGAGCCACATTTCTCCCTCCTTCATCTAAATGATAAGGATATGTCAAAAAAGTTCACGTGAAGGGAGGCGTGCAGTTTATCTGAGTATAGTTATTAATGCATCCTTTTCTTGTCACTTTTAGATATTTTGAATATTAACAGAGGACACATCTACACAATTGGGATATAGGGAAACTTCATGGGAAAAAATATTAAGTGCTAGGAACATTTTGATTGGAATATTTATTTCTGATGTGAAATAAATCCTGCTGTGAAGTTATGTTTGCCTGTGGCCATTCCAGTTGTGGTGGATGCATGATTAACTGCTTCTGGGATCCAGAACACACTGTGGATAGAACAAATTGTCAATAGAATCTGTTTCATGTGAGATCAATTCATTTACATTGGTATTACATTGAAAGGATGCTTGCTATTAGGAACAGTCTTATGACACAAGTGGAATATGCTGAAAGGAGGGGTATTAATTTTATTAACATTTTTTAACACTTCTTCCATCTCAAACCCATCTGCACAGAAGCATGCTTCAGTGGCACTTCACACTTCAACCAAGATGTGTGTGTTTTAAAGACTGCAACCTTTTACTGCCATCCTTATCATGGTAGATTGAAGGCATTGATCTTAAAATATGTGTTGAAGGTTGAGCCATGAGGAAAAGTCATAATACTTAGTGCTGTTTCTGAAAATTATGTCCAGAGGGATAGTTGTGCTAGTGTCTGGCAGCTAAACATCTGAATCTTGTGGCACCTTAAAAGCTAACAAATTTATTATGGCATAAGCTTTCATGGACATGGTCCACTTCATCAGGTGCATTTAGTGTAACCTGAATTGGCAGGTATACATATCCATGTTTTAGGGTAGGACATGGAAGTGAGAGAGAACTGAAATTCAGGAATCACAGATAATGATCCTTTAAGCCCAGGTAGTCACCAAGGATTCTTGGGTATCACATCCTTGCTTTGCCTTAGTGAGCTAATTAACACATCTAGTGTGATAAAAAGTGTTTGACCCTGTTCAAGCCAAAAAAGAATTGAATTTTTCGATGAACTGTAGTTCAGCTGGTTCACATGAAAATTTGTGCTTGGAGTTCTTTTATTTAGGGATGGCCACCTTAAGGTCATTTGCCGGAGCTTACTGGGAGGTTATTTTTCATGTCAGATTTGTGGCCATCTATTCTTCTGCCTAAAGACTGCCCTGCAGTAAGAAATAGATGGCATATATCACATTGGAAGAGGAGCAACTGTATGAATGGCTGATGTTGTGGGTGTACATGTAATTGTAATTTTCGTGTAATTGTGTTTCCAGAGTAGATACTGAGGCAGAGTTGCAGCCCATCCATAATAAATAGCCACAAAGTATGAAGCTGCAGCAGCTTTTTGGTGTGGTAAATACTGACCCTGAACCTCTTTGAGACTGAACCTAGTAGTTTTGCTTCTTGGCTGAGCAAGGTAGATAAAAATCAATGATGAAAAGAAATCAATACAATTAGATTTTTTTTAAAATAAAATGCTTTTTGAGGAAAAATCTATCTAAAGATAGTTTCCTATTTAAGATACACTATAGTCCAAGAGTTAGTCATCATGAAATGAGGATTAGTTTTTAATTATGTAGCATGCGGTTGTATATTCATACAATGTTTAATTTTTTTGGGAAATGAATTCCATTAATCCATTCTCGATAGCATGGTCTTTCAGAAGTTTTTGTAAGATTATTGGGCAGTTTTTCCTATCAAGAAGATATTAGCACAGATGCTTTGTTTTACAGTTCTCAGAACTGTGAATTTGTGTCTGCAGAGGTCACATGCCTCTTCAAAGCAATAATGTTATAAAATAAACATACCAAGTTGAGAAAAAGACCTTCATCCCATTGTTCCTTTGCAAATCTATGTACACAGAATCACCCTTTCCCTCTTAAGTGCTAAGTTTCTAAACATGCAATGAATAGAAGAAGATTGTTGGAAATGGAATAGATCTGTGGAAAAAGTGAAGGGTGAGGAGTGAGGGGCAAACAGTAAAAATGAAAATGAAACCTTTTGAGTAGAATACTCCACAAGTCTTTGATCTTTTTATGTTTCGCTTGGGGTTTATCATATGATTCTTTCTCTGGAGGGGACAACCTATAAAAGCAGCAGGCCATAAAAGAGACCCATATTGGGAATGTTTTAATGAAGCTTCTGTACCTACGGGTAGGGCAGGCATGCATGCAAATTATAAATTAGAAAACCGTGATTTAAATCTTGTTTTACTGACTAGTGGTGTAAATAGTGATTTAAATCGATGTGCTTTAAATCAAATCAATCCTGAGGCTGAGTGACCTAGATTTACTACCTGTATTTCACGGAGGCAGACTTCGTGTTTAAAGGGGCTGTCCTGTGTCCTGGACTAGGAGGCTTACATGCATCCAGCGCCCCACCCAAGGCAGCGTGGCCATGCCGCACCTCAGGAAAAGGGCCGCCTGGTTTTAGTGCCAGGTAGGAGGCTCGGAGAGGAATTGATGTAAGCCTGCCTCCCCAGCCTCATTTTCTCCCTCCTTTCTAGCAGTCCCCCTTTTCCCTCTCCAAGGCCCAGTGGCAACTGGTGGGGGGCAGCTGGAGTGGTTTTTTCCACACCTCCTGCAAGGCGCCAGGATGGGAGCTTAGCCTTAGAGTCCCAGCTTTGGACTTTGACTCCTCTAATAGACTCCCAGGTGATGCCAAGAGGCTAATATATTGTGCCCTGAAATAGCAACCTTAGCCATGTCTACTCTGAAGTAAGTCTCATTGGTAGGCGTGTCAGGAGTGGAGCTGGCGGGTGCCGGGGGTCCGACTGGATGGCCCGGGAGGCCCCTTCTGTTTCTGTGTTTCATTATATTCAACGGGACTCGGTGCTAAGTAAGTGTGTGTAGCATTGCACCTTACTTGCCCCCAGGAAGCTGGCTTGCAGGAGTCCCAGTATAAGGAGATGGGAGCACTGTGGCCGCCTTTCGTTGTTCTCAGTGGCTGCAGTGGCATTGATGCTGGTGAGCTTCCTGGGAGCGTGGGCTAATCGAGCTCTGTGAAGGAGGGGAACAGGGTGGATGGGGAGGGTGGTCTGGGTGCAGCGTATTTTTGTCTTTAAAATACAGGCAGTGAAAAATGTTCATAGGTTTTAACCTTTTTACTGCTGATAGAGTTTTGCAAGTTTTCTAAAAGTGAGGATCGCTTCAGGTACAATGCGCTTCCTATGTGGATATCACTTCTGGATAGGGTGTTATGTGTTTCCACTTTTATGCAGTCATGTGTGGCAAGCGTACAAGTCTGTTTCACCAGCTGGCCAAGCAGGGAACTCTGCTCAGGTGTTGCACCAGATGCGTAGCTTTGAAGTGGGGAGAAAGGAGGCTGCACATTTAGGATACTGAAGAAGTGAAGCAGTAGTGCTCAGACACTATGCTGAACTTCTGGGACTTTCCTCTAAGTTCCAACCCACAGAGGCTTGAAGGGTGGCAACTGGGGAAGGCCGTTTCTGTGGTGCCCCCCCCCCCCCCACAATCTTTGGAACAACCGCCCTGCTGCCACCTTCCTGCTGCCAAATTTGCCATCTTTTGGCACTATGGCAAGACTGCCTCTATGCAGAGGCTTTTAAAGCTCTCCTTAGTTATCCAGGGGCCTGAACAGATTATCCTGGTGATTCTTCTTCTTGGGTCTTTTTATTTTCTTTTTAAAACAGTATTTTATGCTATTTAAAATCAATTTTAAATTCTTTTAACACTGTTGTCTTACGTTATTGGTATTGTTTTGTTTTTGTACATTGCTGTAAACCACCCAGAGAGCTTCCGCTATGGAGCAGTATAGAAATGAAATAAATAATAATAATAAAAATGGTTTCAAAGGGACTGAATAGCATACAGTACATGCTGTGAACTGCCCAGAGAACTTCAGCTACTGGACAGTAAAGAAATGACATTGATGATGATGCAGACTGTAAGTGCAAAAGAGACAGAGTAGAAAAGAAAACACACAACCAGTTCCACTATATTATGTGCAGCTATGAATGCAGAAGCGCACGTGCGTGTGTGTGTGTGTGTGTGAAAGCGGCGGAGCTATTGGATGTGCCTTATGAGCTCAAGAGTATTTGACTACATGTTTAATTCCCTTTTCTAGAAGAGAAGATTGAGAAGAATAACTTCTACTGTAGCGAACCAGGCAGTTCTACAGCCCATTTCTATGCACCCTCCATGAAGTCTGTTCCTGAAGCAATTGGAGGCCACAGAGAGAAGCCATCAGATGCACAGCCTTTAGGTAAAGAGGTGACTGTGCAGTCCTCATCAGGCCCTGATGAGTCTTTAGAAGGAACGGACAGCTCAGCTTCTCTGTCTTCTTCAGACATGGAATCAGGAAACGAAAGTGAATGTCCCAAGGACTTGATCTCCAGTGCTAGTTTTCCTCCCTCTCCTGCCGCTGGTCCCTCCAAACGCAGATCCCCCCTTGATATACTTATCAGGGTCTTTCCGAATCACAAACAGAGTAGACTAGAGAGAGTTCTGCAGTCCTGCCAAGGAGATATAGTCCAAGCAATAGAACAGGTACTGAATGTGGACGAACACAAGCCAGAATTCGGAGAGCTTCCCCTCTCACCTTTGCCGACACGCAGTGCCTTCCGGAGATCCTCTAATTTTAGCCTCCTGGGAGTAGATGTTGGGACACTTGGCATTCAGTCAGCATTTTCCCCTTTTCAAACCAGTCCGGCTTCTTTTGGAAGTGAGGTGAATTTTTATGGTCTAAGCCCTAGACTGGGAATTAGACCACTGAGAGTGGCGTATTCTCCTCCAGGAAGAACCTTACCTGGACTGACGTCGCCCTACACAACGTCAGGATTGTTTCCTGCTTGGCCTTTTCACCCAGCTATGGACTATTCTTTTTCAGGAGTGATCAAAGATGCATCTTGCTTCCCCAGTAAAGACACAATTGTCAGTAGCAAGATTTACAGCAGGTTAAATGAAGAAAGCAAATAATCTCCTGATCAAATCTTAATTGTTGTAGAATGTATTCTGGTGTGTGCAAGGGGTAGCATCAAGTCTCGAAGATCTACTAAGTAGATTTTAATCCTTTCTGTTTTGGGGGGAAAAGGTTGTAATGGGATTCTTCATTTTGACATGAACCCTTTCAGAGTACCAGCAGGGAAGAGCCATTAGAATTAGCATTGGTTTTAAATATGACCTTTTAAATACATATATTCCATTTTCATATTCTTTGGAGAAGGTGACATTTAAGAGGTTGTGATTGAAAATCCAAATTGAAGTGCAGAAGAAAACAATAAATCATGATTGTTGAACTCCCATTTTGCCTTTTTCAAGAAGTTTGATGCTTTTATTTTTACTTAGCATGCTGATATTTTAAATATGGAGACTTGGTTTCAGAAAGAATTTTAAATATATGCTATCTGGAGCAGCGGGATGCTATTAAGGAATAAGTGTTATAAAAAAATTTATAAGGAATTTGGTACATAAGTGGCTTTTTCAGGCTTTGAGCCTCACATTCTATTCACGGAAAAATGAAAGTATGACCTGCATTAGATGCAAGCCAGTATGCTTTAGCAACATGTGAATGCGAACTATGGCTAATTGGAACAATCCAATTTCATAAGCCATGATTTGAAGTTGGCTTGTTTCAATACCCGCAGTTTGTCTGAGTTTGAGCATAAGACTAAACTGTAGTTAGTTTTAAAACAAAAGCTTCCTTTCAACTGTGCCAGAGGAGAAGAGGGGCAGGGAAGGCTGACGATACTAAGAATTATTCAAAGAATCCTAAACAGAGCTTTTTTTCCTAGAATGGAGTCAAGGGGCATGTCTACATGTCATGCCAACCCACCCTGGCAAAACGGATTAACCCAAAGCTTCCAATTTTTGCACTCTCAGAACTGCGTACAGTTTTGCAAATATGGCTGTTTCTTATATATGTGTGTGTGCACAATGAGTGCATTTTTTAAAGTGGCTTGCCAGGCATGAGAGCTCCTCCAAGCTGCTGCTCTGGTGCTTTGCAAGAACTATCAGTGGCTGCTAAAACAGTGATCGCAAAAGCTGCCTATCAAGATGGTGTTTGAGATTTGGAGAAAAAATAGTTCATAGAAATGGCTTCCTGGAGGAGTGGCGGGGGGGGGGGGGGGGACCCAGCCCCTGCCTGTTGCCCTACGCTGTCATGGGGACACTTGTAGGTTGGCTGGCCCCAGTGGATGCCCCAGTGGCGAGCGTTTTCTGCCACACATACCAGGGGGCTCACTAGCCAATTCCCAGCACTCACAGTGCAGTTAGTCACCTGAGCTTGGATGACCCAACAACCCATTGTGAGTTCTGTAATCCCTACAACAGACCATGGGTTGTTGGAGGCTTTTTGCCCACGAACAAGCCATCCTATGGGAATCAGAGTACGTTCATTTGAGACAACAGCCCATCATGGGAAACAACCCACATTGGGTTGTTCTGTTGTATGAATTCAGTCAATTTAATGAATGCTGTTTATCTTGCCATGAAGGTACATGATAAGAATTTTTATTACGAAATCAAGCAAGTCTGGCCCTGGTCTGGTTGAAAACCTTGTGTCATCCTTGCAGCATTCCATGTAGAATAGACACGGCATTCATGTAATAAATGAAAGAGTGATAAGATAATGAGCAGAATATAAGCCAGTGAGAATGGCTGTTTAGCTCATATATCTTTTTTTCATGTCCTCCTTTCAAGCAGCACTCTCCCACCTCCAAAATCATCCATTCAAATTCAGATGGACCCTTCCAGAGCAAAATGCAAGGGGCTGCTTTTAGTGGGTGGATGTTTGCCCACTAAACATCCATGTGCCAGGGCAGCTGTTACTGGATCACTTTTCGGTGATGTATGTTGCGGGCACAGGGGTGCTGATCCAGACTGGGACTGCCACCAAGGGCAGAGAGTCAAATCTCCCCATGTCTGCTCAGTAGGGTCTGAATCCTTATCAGTTTGTCTGTAGTTTTGAGTAAAAGAAAAAAGAGACAACAGTTGCACATGTTTTTCAAGTAACATGTAGCTTGACCCGATTTTTCTGAGCCCTCAGTAGACCATGTAACATGACCGCTTCTTCAACAAAAGCCAGAGATACATTTTTCCTTGTCACTCCTATTGATAATCTTTTGTGCCTCCTATGAGTTTGCCAAAGACAGTCAGCAGAATAGTTTATTCACGTAATTTGCTCACCTTCCTTTTTTTCCTGATTCTTGGAAAACTGCAGAACTGAGGCAGCCTTTAGTTTTCTTATATTTCATGCAGAAAATTGAACTCCCAGTTGTGTGAAAAAAATGAATGTAGAATAGGCAGTGCACATGTCAGAGCAAAAACAGAAAAAGTATTTTTCCCAATGAAATGATTTGCAGACAAGCTGATTATGGAGCAGGGTTTCCTGCACAGCAGGACAGGCATGTTGTCTGTCTCAAAAGCAGAGCACAGCCACAAGGTGCCCTGCCTCTCACCCATCGTGTACTTCAAGTTTATGGGGAACATCTGACTCAGTTGATCAATCCACTTCATGTTATATTTTCCCCTCAGTTAAAAAAGTTTATGAATCTGGGGATTTGGTCCAGAAGCACAGCTTTGGTGCTTAATTGAGACTGATGTCCTGCACCATGAACCCAGGAGTACACCTCACAGAATTCGGTTGGACTTGGTTTTGAGTAGACATATAGATGGTCAACATGTGCTTGGATGTCACCCATGCCTGCCCTGATCAGGCCAGCTCAAAGTCGACTTTCCTTTTTTTAGGTGAATTAGGATTCAAAGCTGGTGATCACCATCTTGTGGCTACGCACGCTCATTGCATTTAAAAACAACACAGAATTCTTGTTAGACATGAGAAAGGAACCTATTTAGAACTGAGGTTTTTTCCTTTTGCCCCCCTGAAATTGCAGCCAATGAGGACAATTTGCAACCCTTCATTCACCATCTTATTCATACAGGTGGTACATGCATTTGCTTTAGCCCCATTCAGCTAAATGGGTGCATAACTAGCATGGAGCTATTTGAAACTTCTCCCTCTAAGAACTACTGTTTTGTTAATTTTAGGAAGTTCACTAACTCAAGTCAACTCCGACAAATGCAATCTTGGTAGGTAAGTTATGAACATGTTAGGTAAAATATTTATCCTGAATAAATAACCTCAAGAGCTTGAAAGGTTTGCCTTTCAATTAGAATGTGTGTACTGAAAATAAAAGAGTGCATGCACAATTTTGAGAGCTCTTCTCTCTCCTCATGGGATGTGTTAGGTTAAATTGATTGTATATTCAAAGGTGCCATGGTCAGTGCCTCTCATCCGGGTGTTTTACAGCAAGCTCTGGTCCCTGACACCAGTCACAGGAGGAGCAAAGGAGTAATCATGGCAGCATGACGTGTTACACATGTGAACACGTCAGCACAACAGCCTTGCTTTCCCAGATTGCTCAAACAAGAGCTGGTACTTTTAGGCGTGGCCTGTTCTGCAAATTCTGTTACAGATGAAGCCAAGAATTTTACAGAGGGTTAGGAGAACCATGTCCTGAAACCCAACCTAGTGTCCTACCTGGAAGGTTTTGTTTTGGAGTTGAAAATAAAAGGACATTCGTGCCTAGTGTAACCCAATGCATCCCCTTTCTCCACGACCAGAAGACAACCTGCCTCCAAATTGATGGAGGGACTGGTGCCTGGCCTAGTTTTCAGAACTGGGTGCAGGGGCTTGCGTGAAGGCGATGCAGGGAAATGTTATTATCCACTTCATTTATTCTTCATCCCAGGCTTGCTGCCTGCACAGTTAATTTTTTCCAGAAGGCTCAGAGACTGACTTGGAGCCAAGAGAAGCTGCCAGATAGCACATGCTGCCAACGTCTCCTTCCCTGGGGAGAAAGAGGACGATTCATGCCTTAGTTACTCTAAGTTACTGTTTCTTGAAGAGCTGAGGTTTTGTCTTGCTGTAGAAGCCATAACTTTGATTTGAAAAGTGCTGTGGAGTGTGAGTACCTCAATGTTGTTTCCATGCTGTTCACTTTGATATTGGGATGTGTGTTGGTTTCATTAATTATCATTTCATAAGTGGCTCATGGTTGCAGTCGCACATCTGAACTCAGCCACATGGACACCTTCTGCTAAGCTGCATTTTGAAGCAAGATCTAGAGATGTACAAAATGGTGGTGAAAAGGGTGACAAAACCTGCAGCAACGTAAAGCCTGGCTCATTTGCTTCAGCATTAAGATTCAGAGGCAGAAGCTTGCTTCAGCCATTGTGTGTGACAAGGTGACTGCTCTAAATATACTCAGAGTGAGGTACAGAGAGAGGAGAAACATCAACAAGGTGAGATCTAAAGATAACAGTTGCAAAAAGCTTGCCCTGATGAAACATGAAAACAATGCATAATCTTTGCTTTGCTTTGCTTTGCTTTGCTTTGCTTTGCTTTGCTTTGCTTTGCTTTTCAGAGGATCACTATCTGAACAAGATGACTTGAAGGGAGATATTTTGTAACCTGGGACACAAATTTATCCAATGGGATGCCAGGTCAACCTGTTCACCGAGTTTCACTTCTCAGGAAACGGAGTCATGTAAAGGCTTTCCAAGAAGACTTAAATGTACCAGATTGGTTTAAACAGGTTTTCAGTTTGGTATTTATACCTAATTAAAGTCAATACTTCATTCTGCAGTCAGTGGACTGCAGCAGTGTGGAATATTGTAGTCGTATATACTTAGCATTTCTATATCACTTGAGAGCTGGGGTGGGCAACCTTTGACCCTCTGTATGTTTCGGCTTACAGTTCTCATTATCCTGTGCCATTAGTTATGCTGGCTATCACTGATAAAGTATAAAACATCTGAAGGACCTCAAGTTGCCCACCCCTTCCTTAAGGCATTCATTCCATTTCCTATATTTTATCGTTTAGTCCTTGCATTAACCTTGTAAGTATCACTAATCCCATATTGCACATGGTGATACTGAGGCTAACTCCAATGAGTGCTTTGCCTAAGGCCAATGGTTAAGGTTCCAGCAAATGCATGACTTGTACTGGGGACATTGTATATCATGCCCCGAGTCTCCTCACTGCTACACCAGCTCTTTCTAGCTTTACTGTTCTGTCCTGACCAATCAAAATCCTATTTCCAAATGAAAAAGTTGAAATAAGCTGGATTTTTAAAATTTAACCAAAGCATAGTGTTTATGTGACTTGCTAAAATGAAAAT